CATGACATCTCCTTAGTACACATGACATCTCCTTAGTACACATGACATCTCCTTAGTACACATGACATCTCCTTAGTACACGTCTAGGGTGTGACCCTACAATGCTCTCCTATGCGTGCTACTACACAGATCTCTCACCCGTTGTCGTGCACGTTCGTGAGGAACGTCTGCATGCGCTCAAGCGGATGCTTCATTGAGATTGTGTCCAGCTGGTCGCTGCACGGAGGCGTGATGCCCAGTAGCGCCATCTTCTCCGTCTCGGGAAGCTCGTAGGCGTGCCCGAACTCCGGCGACCTCCGACCCAGGAATTCTGGCACCCACATCCGATTGAAAGAGCTGCGAGAGAAAAGAGCGGCTATATTTCACAAATGCGTTTTACGTGAGATCTTCTGTGATTTTGCGAGCTGTAAATCTGCTGTTTTTTTGGAAAGAATAATTACAGCGTACGGTACAAATTTAACAAAAATGCAGATTATGTAGTAATACTAAGGCATTTAATTAAAGGAAGTATTATTAATTATCTTGTCACACACATGTTCACATACACGCACTCAGACACACGAACGCATGCATACACAAATACACACACACAGGTATGCATAAACATACACATGTGCACGCATGCACACCTGCACGCACACATGCAAACTCGTGTACACACACATTCTTTGGTAGATCGGATATTGAACTTCACTCTCCTGCCAACTGCCCATATGCCTTGATTTCCTTTATGGGGATCACAATGCTGTGAATCTCAGGCAGAGAACAACCGTACCTGAGAAGTCCCAGCATATTCTGCATGAGGGGCATGATGTGTGACGATGCAGGATTGCGTAATATGGGGGCGCCACTATCACTCGTTCCGATCACAAACGCTCCCGCCTTGGCTTCCTGTGAGATAAATTACACATGGAGTGTGTGTACGGGCATAACCTCTACACAACCACTGTATCAGCATTATTTTTATGTAACATCAAACTCCTACAGAAGAATACATACATCTGCATACCCGAAACCACACAGCCACACAAAATAGCTATGACTACCACCACTAACTCCATAAAAGCTAGAGTGATCTCCAGGCCGCGTTCAATAATCACATATGAATAATGACATTGAACATGAATGACTTCTATAAACTCTATGTTAATCACTCAGTGTATATAAAGAGATATCATTTTTTACACGTTGGCCACAATATTCGTGCACATCTACAGTACACTAAATACCTCTGCATCGTCTGGCCACTTGCTCCTTTTTATCACAGCTAAGATTGTGTTGATGCAGTATATAATCTGGAAATACAGCACGTAACGTACATCGTGACAGCAGTTAAAATACAAGTGTGCATTTACAATAAATACACGAGAATCAGACCTACATCTACCAACAAGACTGCTGACACAAGCAGCCAAACAACTAATGGAGATAATAATCTGCCACTCAAATGTTCCTGTGCATCACGTGATAAGAGCACATGCACTCACATCAAAACAAGTTTTAACATTAGTCTTAACATTGACATTTTCTCATAGACCATAACTCTATACACTGGGTATGAGAAACTGACCACATTTCCATCAACAGCCTACAAGAAAATATTAAAGGGAGAGTTTACTCTAGGTTCTAGCGTTATTTTCAGTTAATTTAGGTTATATAATTACGCTACATAAAAGTTTCATGGTTCAATCACCATTAGAAATATTATTAAAAAATGTTTTAAAACTAACGACTACAGTTTGATTACAACGACGGTGGCGCCACTCAAAGCGCACGATCTGATGAGTTGCGCAAAACCACTTTTCAGCTTAGGGCTACAGACCGAGGGTGTTTCTTATTTATTAATTTAAAAGCAAAAGGATTGTAATATGTTATAAACGACATATAGTTTCCGTTATAATATGGATAAATTTGCCCTAAAATGAATATCGTTCGGTTAAATAGCATTTAGGTATCAATATAATTGCACTTTTGTGATTAGCCCTCGGTCTGTAACGTGCAAAATAAATTGTCAAATACGCAACTTTTTCGGGGTGGCAGCACGGTCGCGGGTGTCATGGCGCCATTCAAATTTCGTAGCATTGATGTGTAATTAATTATAACAATTAAATTAGGTATCTGGTAACAAATACGTGTGGGTATAGACGATTTGTTATACAGTAAGTACAGTTGTATGCAGTAAAATCCTAGAGTCTACTATCCCTTTAATGTTAAAGGCTAACACGCTTTCTGAAAACAGGCCTTACACTTACCTGAGATCTGTTGATCCCATTCTGGTCATCCTGGCTGGGTTCCACGGGTTGCCTATCTAGACCGATATATGAAATAAAACGCTCCACTGACCAGAACACCCTGCAAGCAAGTAGTGTGCCTTTAGACAGGCACAGCAAAGAAACGAACGTGCAATGTTGCCAGGAAATTTAAGGTGGTTAAACATATGGCGGTTGCGATCGCACTGGTATATGTTACGAACAGAAATGATAGGTGATCAAGAGACACAAACACATTGATGTATGTGTATCTTCGTGGATACGTGTTACACGTCATACCAGAGCATTTGCCGTGTACTATACGCCGCTTAACTTCATTTTGCTAACTTGCCGATGTGGATTACTAGATATGTTCACGGTTTAAACCAGTAGTATAATATTGCTGTTGTTTCTGCTCAATTATTTTACTTCAACAATTATCTTTACCTTTCATGAATTTATGCATCATGTTCAATTTGAGCAACACACAAATAAAGCACATACGTAAATATTTAAAAGGAAAGAAGTGATTGCGGTGTATTGGTGCGTGATGTATAGCTAAGAGGAGTGGCTTACTGTTTGAGCTCTGGATCCAGCCAGATCTTGTGCACTGGTGCCAGTATCTCCTCGATAAATGTCTGCTGCCGTGAAAAGTCCTTCAACTGATTGCTGTTGTCGCGAGCATAAAAAAATTTCAATTCAACACAAATAATAACGCGATTATACGGGACTAGAATTCCGTAAATGTTAACATAAATTTAAACTAAATCTGTTAATTTATGAAATTACAATAGATTAGATCGCATCAGTCCATAAAACATCAACCATTTCACATAAAATTGCATGCGTTACTACAGAGTAACGGGAAACATGACCATGATGAGAATGGATGCCCCCCCGTCACGTATCTGGACGAGCGAGCAGGGGAAGGCATGTGAAAAATATATCAGCAAGTCAAGCATTGGACAATGCACCTGATGAGGATCAGAGCCTCCATGAGGGTGCATTTCTCCATCTGTGACAGCTGATCTGGGTCCCGGCTGATCTGCTTGATGTGACTGTAGAGGTGGTCGAATGCCGGCTGTGGTAGAACAAAGGTTGACACGGGGTCAAACCAAGGGAGCCGCGATCCGTAACTGATGGCGCATCATTGCTTTATTGCATATATGCACGCACGCACGCACGCACGCACGCACGCACGCACGCACGCACG